ATTACTAGACTACTTGTGATCGCAATTAAGAGATTGACCGGCAATCCTGGCGTAGCTATGGTGACGAGGGATTCTCTAGTAGAGTGGCGTTTCGTGTTCGGTACTACGACGCACGTTCTCGCCCGACGTGATCACGTTGTTCTCAGCAGGTGTTTGCCATTATCCTTGTCAGTGGTAACCGCTGTTTGCGTCTCTCTAAAGTTGAGAGTAGCTGTTCAGCCAAGGGTATATTCCGTACGTCGCTATCTTTTGCAAGAGAGAGAGAGAGAGCGAGAAATAATATATATCGTATAGTCTATACATAGAGTCGGCGTCATGAGTTACGTGAAAACTCGGCTTTAGCTATTGGCCTATTCTATGATAATACTACTTCTTGGAGTGGTATCATGGCGTCCGGTGGCAGCATGTAGTAACCGCTAAGAGCTATCCAGTTAGTATATACAGATTAGTTCACACTTAGCGCGCGCGGGTCACTAACATTTATATTCGCACTAAAATTGCGCACTGCGAACAACGATGGTAATCCGCCGATAGACGCTTAGCCTATTGATCGCGAAATGTAGGCAAAAGCAAAACATAGAAAGTAGACTGAAGAAATTTTAGGAGAAACGAATACAGATTCTATTCATGTACGCCTGGTAATAATGTTGCACCTGCTTAGTTATGAACAAGAAAAAGATAATGCGTTCTGAGAAAACGTATTCACAGACTATTAACCAGTGCATACACGATATAGAAAATATCTCGCAGTGAACACACACGTATATATTCCATAGTGTGCAAACAATATGGCAAATTTGTAAACTATAAAATGGCGGTAGTACGACTAGACAGAATAAGCGAACGAGTCTTTTTTGTGATCGTTTTTTTTATGCTATATTTGTTATATAAAGATGTCCTGTATCTTAGGTCTAGTCATAAATCTAGTGCATTAGTTTCTGATCTAATATCTGTTTAGGCCGGTTAAATTCAATCGGATACATCAATCAATAGATATTATAATTACAATCGTAATAAGACGGTATAATTGGCAAATTATGCGATATCGCGTCTACGATAATGATTCGATGTGATCCGAAAATCTTCTTTTAAAATTTGCTTGTAACCGCTAATGGTCTGACGTCGTTCGTGAAACATGGGCGCTCTTACAATGGCTACGATCATTGATTATTTACGTAACTAAAATATTCGCCTTTTCAGTGAACGCGGATTATTGATGTGTAGCCGTCCTCATGTAAAGCGAGCAATATATGAGAGTGGCAGGATCAGCTTTTCATTAGATAATATTCTCCTTTACCAATCAATAAAACAAAGATTGCGTTAACAGTCACTAGATGTCGTTGCAAAGACAGATGCGTCTAAAAAATTAACAAGAATTGTTACGCATAATACAAAGAAAAAGTGCTGACAAGGAAAGAAGTAGAATAAACGCATGGACTAATATTGTTGCTCGCAGTCAGGTTGAATAGAAGCCATACATGCAAAGCAGAAATATGTTGCAAGAAGAAGATAAGGAAATGTCGTGACGTCACTGTGATCTTTCGTCGCCGTTTTGCTTCGTCTATCAATTTAATGCACCGCAAGAGAATATCGTAGATCGATAAATTTTGCATCAAAATATTATCATTAAATTTCTCAGGAGATATCGACGTAATTCGATTAATCCGTGAACGCGTCTACCCATCATATCTAACCAGACGCATTCGGCGGCTGACATGCGCCGAGCGACTCCTCGTCCCCAGTCGATTATAGAGGGGATTTTAATATTATTTGTCTTTCATAATAACGTGCGTCATCATAGGCGTGTCCCGCAGGAGTCGTCTCCACTATTGTCGCGGTGGAGCCACCGTCGACCGCACACGGCGCGTGCGTCTCCATCGGAAGTTTAATCTGCAACGCCGCGAAGCTGTGGGAATACCAACGACGCATTGGCGGATGCGTTTCCCGCGTCTCATACTAGCATGTTCAGCATACTAGCACGTTCGTCATGCTAGCAGCGGATGCTATACCGGAGTGCGACAGAAAGCTGACGCGTTCATTGCTTACGCGCGCTTGCACACGCGCAGGCGCGCGGGTGGCTGGTAACATGAGCAGTCCGACTTGCTACATTACCGGAGCCGATGCGATTACGTCACTACGCGTCACTATACCTATTGCCACGGACGCCAGCGATAATAGACTATATGATAAATCTACGGTGTTACGTCACAAGGTTTGATGGGTGAATTGGCACCTTGCTAATTTTGTGTGCAGATGCATTTGCGTGTCGAGTACACGAGATCGATATATTCGTAGAGGCAATTGAAAGGTTTACTGGACGTGTTTATCAATGCGGATGAAATACACGTTTTCACTAAGTGTGCACGATAAAGATTACGCGTGCAAAGATTTCGTTGTAAAATGCGCGTATGTCTGAAAACAAGCCTTTATATTATCATTCAACATGCAGGGTAATATGAGCTATATTTTTCGGTAGCTTGTCATTTCTAAATTTCTTTCTTTATTTCTTTCTTTAGATGTTTATTTCTTTATCTGCGTGTCTATGAGTTTCATTATGCCGAAATCACTGGAACAACAACAACAGCAACAACGACACCCACAAAAACTACTATGTACTACCATTACAACAACTACTAGTACTACTACTACTACTACTACTACTACTACTACTACTACTACTACTATTAATTGCAATTAAACTAGATCTATTGAGGTAATTTTGCACCATATATAGTGCATAATAGAGTTATTTAGCACAGTCTGGATATTTCCTAGTGGCGCCACACCCGCGTAACTTATTTACGTTTGACTAGGGCGACTGAAACGTGACGTCACACAATATCGCGAGCGATTGCTGGGACATACCCGAGTTAACTGGTATAAAGAAATTCCATGTTAACTGTATTGGTATATCCTGATTGGCTCGGTGGCCAAAGGGTAATTAAAAATGCCCTAATTATTTTGGCGTTTTCCCCGATACTAGGTTTCAATGAAGCGAGAAATTAGCCGACCTTGGAATCAGTCTCTCGCTCCAATATTCCCCGCGTGTAACCTCCTATTTTAGTGTCGTCTGCTCCACACGATCACGTGACACGCTAATGGCAATGTCAACTTCAGGCGAAGGTTCGTGGTACGCGTGACGTGATGTGTGGCATGTAGTGTCGCGCTGTTTGCTAGCCTTTCTAAAGCGAGGGATGTACGTACCGTCTACATTTCGCTTTCGATGATAATGGGACACAATCGCCTTGAATCGGCTGCATAGAGGAACTGCGTACGAGTGGGCCTGCTCTATAGACGCACTTGTATAATAACGGCGGCCAGTTATAGACGAGCGAAGGAATACAACTGCAGTAATTGCACTACATGTGTCTTTCATCTGTCGCATATATATCATGCCTTCTATTTCGCTCGTTGTCGCCGACAGCATTAGCAATACTCGCCTCTTAATAACCCTGCGTGAAGTGTTGTCATCGTGATTATATGCGCAGCGCGTTGAAGCTGGCTGCCTATTAGTTCGGAGGCTGGAGATATTTGCTAAGAAATTTCAAAGCCGTATTTTTATTTCTACAGAGAAAGGCGAACGGCAATTATAATGCATCTCCGAATAATATTATAACCAGCGTATAGGTAATATTGTAAGCGATTATAGCGTTCAATAACACACAAACTATATTTGCCTGTTATCGCTAAATACATATAACGTGTTAAACGCGTGCCTCGGTTTTCTTTATGTATGTAGTTTCCCATAAGGCGTTATCTCCTTCCGCTTTTTCTGGGTCTCTCTCTCTTCTTTCTCCATATTTTACAATCCCCATCTTCCCCTTCCTCTCACCCGTTTTCGCGAACCCGCTGTTTAGGGTGGAAAGTGAGGTTATATAACACTTCTTAAAACAGAATAAATTAATAGCTTAACAGGTAGCAGCCGGCTGTTGTTTGACAGCTTTGCAGATTCCGGTTCCGGTCGACATAGTTTCCGGTTCCGGTCGACATAGTTTCCGGATCCGGACGCCACTTGTCGTTATCTCGGCGTGGTGGCGACCATGTACCACGGCGTATTCCCCAGATGAACTCTGAGTCACAGCGCAAATATCGAAATTAAAGTTTCGCATCAGTTGCCGTCAATCATAAGCCCGTGCATTAACAGCGCATTCACGCTTCTTTACTTCTCCGAAAATCAACTCCCAGCGGATGGCCGAGGAATAATCTATGTATCATTATCACGTATGTATAGCTTAATAAAGTAAAAGTCCCTCTACCGTGTCACTCATGGCACTTCCTAATCACATTTTCGCAAAAACAAAAGGTTTGATGACTTACTCTTGATCTGTTAGCGGTCATCCTATAGTGCTATTTTTAATTAATTTTGAAGTCCTGCAACGCATGAACGCATGTCTATATTTACGCTGTGGTCGGGTAAAGACTGAGCAATTGATTTACGCGTGATTGTGTCTGCAGAAATAGGTGAGTAGATACGTATTAAAAGAGTACCCCACAGACACGCATGCACGCATGCACGCATGCACGAACAGCCATGCATGTGCAAACACGCACGTGCACGCCCGCATCACTCATCATACACTCACATGCACACAACACACACACAACGACACACCACACACGCACGCACACACCACACACAAACACACACACCACACACACACACACACACAGCACACACATACACACATACACACACACACACAACACAACACACACGCACCACAGCACACCACCACACGCGACGCACGCACACACAGCACACACACACCACACACACACACACACACACACACACACACACACAACACCCACACACACATGCACACACACACACACACAACACACACACACACACACACACACACACACACACACACACACAGCACACACATACATATATATATATATATATATATAAATATCAGCAAACATGCGCCATGCCGAGCAATGGCTATACAAAAGAAGACACGCGTTAAACCGCATTTGCTCGTGTATTTCAGATTTGGAAAACGGACATTCGATGATTTGCGAGAGTTCGTTCAACGAGACTCGCTTGAGAAGCCGTGGTACGAATCAATACTCCAGTAAAGATGTGAATGAACCATTGTCACCGGTGTTACAGCGCCTTGTCACAGGTGTCTGTGATACAATGCATAACCATCCTCGCTGATAATGATTCTCGTGTATACTACCTCGCGCGCTAACTCTAACTTGTACTTTGTATCTTGTAACTTAAGGTCCGAAGAATTTTTCACATACTGGAAGACTGGCTTGTGGGATAATTATCCAAACAACAAAGATGGGCGCAAAGGCATCTCGATATTTATACGATATTATGGTCGATATTAGGCGCATTTTAGGATCCGATATTAGGATCGATATCGATATCAGGTTCTCGATATTTTATAAAGGACACACACACACACACAGACACACACACACCACACACAACCACATACAACACACACCACACACACACACACACACACACACACACACACATACACACACACAGGTATTCTGTGTATAAAATAATAAATAAATATATAAATGAATATATATATTATATATATATATTTATGTATCGGTGGCTTGACAAGGCCGTTCACCTGTTAACTCTCGCCAGCGTGACAGAAGGTCATCGCCTGACACCATACACACAGCTCTAAAAAACTCTACATATGTACTCTGAGCACTTTACAAATGAGCCTTTCAAGGAAGTTTATTGCGCAGGAACATGAAATAGCTAGTCTATGTTTCCAGACGTTCATGCAGCCGGCAGGAGCATATATACGCGTCGCATACTACTACGCCTCACGCAAGCACGGAGTGAAGATATTGCTGGCGTCAATGCACAGACATCGCCTCGAAATTCAGTGGGCCAAACCTTTTCCTGTGATCTTCGCAAGTTTTCTCATTCTATCAACGAAATGATTACAGAGCGACGCGGCGCAGAAACGCCGGCGACACTTGTCGTCACAGAACGCGCGCCGACATTTTCCGAAAATTGAATGATTGATGGAGCCGATATAGCAGCCCTCTCAAAGAGAACCACTTCGTTAGCAACGCAGACGTTTGAAATCTTATTCATGAGTCGGCGGAGAGATCATTTTAATTTCCCCCTGCCGTTAGTTTAGTGCAGTCGTGTAATCGCGGCATTATAAAGCGTAATTATCTTTTTTTGCTATTGTATTAAGTTATTGCCTGCATTGCATATCGATTCCGACCTGTAAGATAACGTAACCCCGTGTAGAATAATGTGTTTATTAGGTAACAGCTCTCGAACTTTCAAAATGTCAACCAAACTTCGTCACAGATTTAGGGCAGGGATCGTTGTTTACGAGAAATAAGAAGAATACGAAGAAAATCAGCAATTAACTTACTCACGCACCTACGCACGCACCTACGCAAACACCCCCCCACACACACATACACATACACACACACACACACACACACACACACACACACACACACAGCCAC